AAAGTGAGATTTTTTGAAGCAAAACCAAATTAATTATGAAAAATTTTACTTTCATCTATTTAGTGCCCGAAAAAAGTCTAATCTAATCCGACTGCACTAATTGTTCCATTGAAGTATATTCACGCCACTTCCTAGTAATTGCACCGGCGTGGATTATTGTACTTTAACAGGGGCGTGAACAAGCCTAACCATCACAAAAGGTACTGTTTAAAACAAATTTTTCCTTCTGAAATCCTTAAACAATTTTTGTCAATTTCCACAGAAAGTCTGCTTCCTGGCTGAACCTGTCTGCCAGATCAGCGACCAAGGAGTTCGCTTGTATGAAAGTCCTGCATGATCGCCAGTTTACGGTGCCTCAACCTTACGACCTCAGTCGACATTGTGTGGTAATGGAACTGATCCAAGGTGAGTCTTTCATAATTAAATGTGCATGTTCAAAGCTTGTAGATATAAAAGTGTAGTTTAGTTTAAGACAACAGCAACAGATACAGGGTGTCTCACATTCAAGGGGCAGACCAAACTTACATTTGTTTAAATGGAATTCCGTGCTTTTTAATGCATATTCGAACTATAACTCAAAGTGCAGGTCTATTCGGTATAAATGTTCCACGCCGCCGTCTTTTCATTGCATAATCAAACGATACTCACAATTCTAGGCCTATTTGATATAAATCTTATTTTTTCAATTGTTTTTTAGTTAAAACCAATATTGCTTAAGCTTTGGCGACCCCGCTCTTGCATTTAATTTGAAATAGAGAGAAAAATGTAAAATACCAAAGTTGTAAATTTTGAAGGCCGTAACTTTTGTTGAACTTCTATTCTATAGAAATGTTGGTATTCTCTGAAAATAAGCTAGCATAGTTCGAATATGCCACAAAAAGAACGGCGTTCGATTTAAAAAATGTAAGATTGGTCTGCTACTTGAATTTCAGACACCCTGTATCAATTGGTATTAGCTTAAAATATGCTATACGTTAATATCAACAACTTTTTCATTTAATTGTTTGTCTCTCAATATCAAATTAAATACATGAGCGGGGTGGCCAAAGCTTAACCAATATAGGTTATTAACACAATAAGCATTAATTACAATATCATTGTCAATTAAAAACAACCGAAAATTTGAAAAAAAAACAACTTTTGGCATCTCTAATAGGACTAAAAGTTCGATCTAATAGTTCGACTATGCAATAAAAAGATCGGCATTCAATTTAGAAAAATATTATTAAATTAGACGTTAATATCTACAACTTTTTATTTAACATTTTTCTCTAAATTGCACATTAGATGCAAAAACGAGGTGGCCAAAGCTCAATCAATAACACTGTACATATTAAAATATATTAAAACGGCATTTTCTTCAGGCAATCTTCTTCATCGCGTACATGAACTGGACAACGTGAAGGCTCTTTACGACAAAGTGATGAACAATATAATGAAATTTGCTTTGTACGGGGTGGTTCATGGTGACTTCAAAGAATTCAACATTTTTATCACTCACTACGTGAGGCCAGTCATCATGGATTTTTCACACATGATTTTTACTCACCATGCAAATGTTAAAATGTTCTTCGAAAGGGATGTGAATTGCGTGATCAACTTCTTCAAAAAAAGGCAAGTTGGGAAAGTCGACTATTGGCAGTTTACTAAATAGGAATATTTTTACAGGTTCGGCTTCGAAAGCGAAACATTCCCTCAATTCTCAGACGTGGTGCGCTTGGACATCATAGATATGGAGGCCTAGCGTATTGGGCTCAAAGAGGACCTGGCCGAACTCGTCAAAGCAGTGAGGCAGCAACTCTGGAATGAGTCTAATAACTGCGATGTTGCGACGGCCGGTGAATTAAATGAAGAACCTCTGGAACACGTTCATGTCGAATTAGACGAAGATTTCGATTGGGGATTCTTCCAAAACTCTTTCGACGAAGAAGTGAACTGAATATTCAACTAAAAGATTCATTACTCTATGATAAAATTTGAGCGTAAATCAATTTCTTTTCTGTCGAAGAAGGTTTTCCAATACGAGCGACACTTTGCTGTGCCTTCTTCTTTTCGGAAAACAGTCTCAATTAGGGTTCCAATAATTTATTAGCAGGTTTCTTTTTAGCTTTTGTTTTTTCTTCTGAGTTTTTTTTTATAAAATTATATTGTTGGAGTTGTCGAGTACTTAAACTGTTGGTAAAACTAGGCTTTGAATATACTGTTAAATTTCAGTGTTACTTGTATTGTCAATTATCCTCATGATCATATCCTTTAATATAGCTTTTTATTTTTCTAAATCATTGTTTGTAATACGTTTTTTCTCTTTTGTAATTTCTGATATGATGATATTTTCAATGTCATTGTGGCTGGTCCGTTGACTACCAACTTGTCGAATTGCATCTCTCGTTAATTGAAATTGGCCAACACCTTCTTTCCTTGTGCTACATAATAGATGAATATGTTTACAAATGCTCCACTGGATAGCGTTATCACTACAACTTTAAGCGAATTGATGAATGCAACAATCACACCTTGTATATATGTATCTCCTCCTATATATGTATATTTTTAAAATGGTCGTCTGCTTTCTCTATGAAATATTTAGATTCATTTTTTGGATTTGTGTAGATC